ATTGGGTTAAAAAACCTATTTTGTTTTTTGTGACTATTTTAGCCAAAAAAACTACAAAACCTACTTCCCAAACATAGGCTTAGTCTTAAGACATACTATTAATTGGTTATTTTTTATTACAATAATAACTTTACATAAAATGACCAAAATGACCAAAATGACCATAAAAAATATCAATACAACCCCTCCCCCCACACACACACACACACACACACACACACACACCCACTCTCCACCATATTTATTGATATTCTAAAACTTCAATTATGAAATTATATATATTCTTAAAATATGTCTAATATTAAATTATATTTACATCTGAAAGAATTATTTAAGATCAGATTAAGGCCTCGTTTGAGAACATGCTTTTTTAGTAATTTTTTGACTTTTTGGCTAAAATATGATGTAAAAAAACTTGGGATGACTTTTTAGCTTTTTTCGAAAAGATATGCAAAAAATAGAGAGAAAAGAGAATCTTTGACTTTTTGGTATATGTTGTTGGCTTTTTAAATTTTTTAGTAACGTTTTGATTTTTTGGCTACAAAAGCCAGTTGTCAAAAGAGGCCTAAGTTAGTTCATAAATTTTATTTTTAGCATAGAACTTGACCAAAGAACTGAAGTCTCGATGCAAATCATAATTTTCAATTCAAATTTTATTAAATTTTTATTTAATACTAATTTTCACATAAAATGTTTTAATATTTTGAAAATAATTAATTATTTGTGAAATGAAGTTACCATTATAAAAAATACTAAAAAAATTATTTTTTAGTAGTGTGAAAATTAATTAACTAAAGAATTAAATTGATGAGATATATAATTTTTTTTAAAAAAAAAAACAAAATCAATGAATGAGGCTAATATGAAGGGTGCTTATAATTATACACACTTAATTTCTTTTCACACCCATCACATATATTTAAAATTTTATAATTTAGGCATAAAAAAAAATTAAATGTGTGTAATTAAATCAAAATATTTTGAAGGTTTCTAATTTTTATCATGAATTTTAAAGATTTGAGAATAGTTATATATGGTATGAATAATGTAGTAATATAGTAAGGAACAAGTTTTTAATTTTTATTAAAGGAAATAAAAATCAATTGGAAAGGATTAGGTTGGAAATATATGGAATATTTTTTTATCTTTCCTTTTGAAAACTATAAATTAGTTTTATTATTAATATTTTGAAAATTATTACTTTAATGGATTAGCCAATACTACTTTTAAACTTTATTTTTTAATTTAATAAATTTTCAAATTTATTATGAGATTTTATAACTCCCACAATGCTACTAACGAAAATCCCATTTTTTAAAAAAAATATAATATATAGATATATAAATGGTTATGTAGTTCTTGGTTGCCATGTGCATAAATTTAAAATACAAAAAAGTGCATAAAAAATGCATTATGTAGTTGAGATTATTTTAAGTGTAATCTGCATTATACTAAGAAGAAATCTGACTTTTTGTGTTCTTTTTTTTTTTGTAAACCTAGCATTTTTTGGATCAAATTATACTTAGTGATGGTGAGGACAACCCAAACTAGGAAATAAATTAGGTGTACTTTAAAAAAAAAAAAGTCTATCTTAACACAATAGTAAGATTGCTTTATTGCAATCTAAGCAATGTTTTAAAAAGCGGCCGCAACCGTTACGTAACGCCGTTACGTAACGGTTTTGGCGGTTACCGCCACCCGTTACGGCCGCTTTTGCAGTGTGTTATTGCAATTTAAGCAATGTTTTAAAAAGCGGCCGCAACCGTTACGTAACGCCGTTACGTAACGGTTTTGGCGGTTACCGCCACCCGTTACGGCCGCTTTTGCAGTGTGATTGAGATTCACAAGTGTGTCGGCCGTAACGGCTACCGTAGCGGTCTTAACGGTGCCGTAACAGCCGTAACGGCCTGTTACGCACTATTACGTAACGGTTCCAAACTGTTTCTTTCCAAAAAACACACAAAAAAAAGCTGAAAATGGGGAAAGAGGGATAGAGAGAAGAGAGAAGGTAAAGAGAGAAAATGGAGAAGCAAGAGATAGAAAGAGAGAAGAGGGAAGATGAAGAACATGTTATTGATTCGTTGAAGTTGTAAGACCTATGTTATTCTATTCAGCTGCTATCACTCAACCATTTTGTTTGTGTGTGTCTATCTATATATTGTTTGAAAATAATAATAATAATGAGTGTGGTCATTATCTATTTGGGTTGGTTAAAATATGTATATATATATTTAGGTTTTTATTTATTCTTTTACTTTTGTCATTGTTTATCTTATATATAATAGTTAGTGATTGATTTTTTGTATAATATAAAGTCATTAATTATTAAAATAAAATGAAAAAAACTCAGTTTATAGTAATTTAAAAATATGAAATATATTAGATCATACTTAAAAATTTATAAAAATTGATCAATATTTATTTTTAACCCAATAAATATGATCATGGAAAAAAAATATGCATATCCGTAAGTTTGTTTCAAATTGTGCGAAAAATAAAAAAATTCACGGTTCCGATTACCGCAACTGTTACACTACGGCCTTTACACCCCGCAACCGCAACCGCGCCACCGCCACCGTTACGGCGACCGCAACCGCATTTTAAAACCTTGAATCTAAGTATATAAGTTTACACAAATAATACTTTTGTATGCGAAATAAAATTAGGTACATCTAATATTTTTCCAAACAAACTCATTAGTGAAAGTTTCATGCACTTAGGCCTCGTTTGGGAATAGTCTAATTTAGTAACTTTTTGGCTATTTGGCTAAAATATGAGTTAAAAAAAACTAGTATGTTTGGGATGACTTTTTGATTTTTTACGAAAAGATGTGCAAAAAGTAAAGAGAAAAGAAAATCTTTGACTTTTTTGTTTGGATTGTTGGCTTTTTAGCTAATTTAGTAACTTTTTGACTTTTTGACTAAAATGGAAGGTTCCGAAATGAGGCCTAAAATTATTTTTTTGTTAATTTTACAATGAGGTCAACGGAAATAGCTAGCTTCTAATCTAGTAAAAATAGCATTACACAAAAGGCTACATTCTACCCTCAAATAGCACTAACCTCTAGATCTGAATAATGTCTCATAATCACACAAGTGTAAAGTTATTATTATAGTAATTTGATTGATACTGCCATAGCAAAGTCAATAACAAAATAATTGATTGGCATCTTTGTCAGTTTGCCTAAGATTTTTTTTGTAGAAGGCATGTTCCAGTGCATTTTTAAAAGATTTACTCACCTAATATAGTTATTTTTTAGCAAAATTTTAGGCAAATATCACAAAACAATGCTAATGCCACAGCTAAAGTTAGCTATTGGTATGGGCTGCTGTGGCTTTTCCAATCTTGTCTTACGCTTAAGAATTAATTATGAAATTTTGTAAGGGAGTTTCAATTTGCATATTACAAAAATCTTAATTCACACTAGTTTTTGTTTGAATATTAATTATTAAATAAAATTTCAAAGTTCGAATATCAATTACCAAATAAAAGGACTTGTTTGATCTCAACAAGCAAGTGGTGTGAATTGAGAAAAAGATTGGTGTGCTATTAGAAGCTCTCAATTTTCATTGCATATGATGAGAGGGGGTTTTGCATGTTTCTAAAAGTCAGTTAGTTTCCAAATGTTTGGAACTTGAGATTGTGAAACAGTGAAAGGATTTGTGGATAATTTTTTTTTTTGAATGAAATAAATTCCTTCACAAAATTCATATTCTAAATTTAAAGACAACTTTGATGAATTGAGGAGAGGGTGGAAGGGGTGAAAAAAAAGGAAAGAAAACTAAATACTATGGCTTCATCTAACCTAGTCAAAGAGTATTGTTAAGTGCATTGTTCCATTAGATGCATGTTCACAAGCAGTTCTGTCAAAGAGGCAAAAAGGCTTCTCCAGCATACTTCCTTCTTGATGGTGCATGGAAGCACGAAACGAATGAAAGTGGAGCGGCATGGGTATATACGAATGATGGTGTGCAGATTCTGGCTTTTGAATCTGCAGCATTGCTCGGGCATGCCTTCTAGCAATGCAATGGGCAACAAGAAATGGCTTTGGTCGGATAGAAATTCACACTGATTGCCTGTTCATGATTTGGTGACTGAGTGTAACGAAGGATGGAACATTGGACCTATCATGGTTGATATTGAAGTAATTTTGGTTTGTGCGCATCAGCTAAGTTCCCAGGAAGGAGGTAAGATTCACTCACGATCTCGCCAAGTCAAGATTGGTGGCTGCTTCGGTGTGGTTCTGGGATCTTTTGTGTTGTTTTTTTTTTTGTGTATGTGTTTTGGCTGATGTTGTTTGGGTATGATGTCTACTGTTATTGGAAGAGAACTCTTTGTATGTTGGATGGATTATCTGCTTAATATATTCTATAACCTTTTACTCCAAAAAAACAAAAGAGAGAGAAAACAAGGCTGCCAATGTCTCTTCTTTTATTTTTATTTTATAGATTTGCTGCCAATGTCTTAGAAACATAATTACTGAAATGACAAATTCCAATAATCCAAGAACAATAACAGGGGATGATTAAAATTGTGTTGACATATTTGTTAACTGACAAACAATGATAGAAGCAGAATGTGATTTTGTGTGTCTTGAGTGTAAGTGACTGAGTACTTTAATAATATAGTTAAAATGTGTGTTAAACAGATATAATAAAAATTTAAAAACATAAATTGTCGATCCTCTCTCTCTCTCCTCTCTTTGTTAAAATACTATTCACTATCACTCAACACAAAATCATAAATCTCATATTTTTTACCAATCACAATACTTTTAAAATATCACGTGACCGTACTCCAGGAGCACCAATAACTTCCCTTGCATAATAGGTATTGCTAAAAGCATCTAAATGTAGCATAGACTACATATATCACTTCATTTTTCAAAATATTTTTTCAGGTATTTTTTCAAAATACATATATCTTTTGAAAACTCAAAAGTCAAAACACCAAGAAGAACGTCTCAAGGTGAACATCCACAAGAATGAACATCATAGCACTAAAAAAGCACAAAACAAAGCATGATGAATCATCACATTCCTCTAACAAATACACCCCATTGGGTAGCTATGCCGAAATTTATGCACTACTACTTGAATCTCCAGTTACATATAACAATTAAAAATAATAAAACTAAAAATCAAGGTAAATATAAGAATTTAAAAAAAGACCTAGAATTCTTTACAGAGAAAACGCAAATAAGCAGACAAATGAAATCTATATGGGAGCTGCACATGTTGTTCTAAAATGGCCTGTTTGATTGCAACGGCTACAATGGACAACCCGTTTTGCCCGACCTCGATCTTCTGTACGAACTCGCCTCTTCCTTGGTCGACCTGGCGGCCTAAGCGATTTTGGTGGGTTTATGACAATTTCAACTGCATTGGCTTCATTCTGAGAACCATCTGACATCTCCTTCCAAAGGGTTCTATCTGGAATTGGGTGTATCGTTTGAGAGTATGCCCTACGATACGTAGCCACGGTGAAACAACTTTCGGTGAACCGATGGACATTCTGCCTGCACGAAAGGAGAGCTGCCACGGCATGAGCGCAAGGCAGCCCATATAGTTGCCATCCTCGACAAAGACAACAACGATTTCGAATATCCACAACATTTGTTCCTTCATGGGATATAACTTCAAATTCAGCTTCATTTGCTCGGAGGACCTGGTAGGTACGTGCTCGCTCAAGAGCCTCCGACACATGCTTCTCAGCAGAAGGAACTAATATTGATGCCCACTGCATACTTGCTTCTCGCCGCTCATTGAACCAAGTCATCAGTTGCCGACGGATAGATTCCATCATTTGAATTATTGGAAGCCCAGAGGCTTCGAGTATCCAAGAATTTAAAGATTCGACAATGTTAGCAGTTAAATGACCGAACCTTGTTCCCTCAAAATATGCTGTGGCCCACAAGCGAGGTGGAACCCGACGAATCCAGTAAGCAGCTTCCTGAGATATCTCCTGAATTTCAAGGACTTTTGCTTCAAACTCAATAACAGTAAGAGCATTGGCAGCTTCCCAGAAAAGATTGACGAGCATGGTATTGTTGAACTCCTTTCGGAAACTGTCACTAAGATGGCTCATACAGAACCCATGAAAAGCAGTTGGGAAGTTTGTTTCCACTCCCTCTACAATACCCTTCTGTCTGTCAGACAAGATTGTAAGCCTTGGCATGTTTTCTGTGTTGGTTTCAAGCAGGTTGTGCAGCTCAGAAAGGAACCACATCCAGTTATCATCATTTTCCTCATCAACCACCCCAAATGCCAAAGGAAACAGGCCACCATCTCCATCAAAACCAGTGGCAAAAAGCAATGTCCCAAGGTACTTGCTTTTCAGGACACTTCTATCAAGCCCAAGAAGTGGGCGACATGCATTCAAAAACCCATAGATTGATGCTTGAAATGAAACAAACAGACGTTGGAAGCAGTTATCCACTGGATTCACATAAACTGATGAAATACTTCCTGGATTTGTTCGCCTAATCTGGTCACAATACATAGGAAGGAGGCGATAATCATCTTCAAATGACCCACGAACAGCTGCTATGATCCGTTCCTTACCTCTCCAGGCTTGCTTGTACGATAATGTTATCCCGTGAACACGATGAATCTCCTCCAATATCTCCTTCGGCTTGTAATGGGGGTTTTCCCTAAGGCTTTGTTCGACAGATTTCGCAACCCACTGGACTGAAGCTTGTTGATGGCCTAGATGGGTAATTCCACCACAGGTATGCTCCTCATGGATAGTCCTAATGGTGAAGGTAGGAACACCTGGAAGCTTTGCAGCATGAATCCGCCAAGGGCATCCCTCACTCGCACATTTGGCAGTAAAACGAGTCTTGTCAGACTTAACAGTCTGTATCTCAAAGTGCAGAGCAATTGCCGTGTCCCTTAGTGCCCTCCGGCAACTCTTGACGTCAGGAAACTCTTGCCCAACAGTCAATTCATGTGTTGGAGCAGGAACCAAAGTTCGGGACTGAATGAAAGGAGTGACTACAAGGTGGGCATGCTCATCTGACATATCTGGAGTCAAGTCCTGATTCTCATCCAAAGCAAGCTCTAAGTTATCATCTATGTCATGGTTCTCAACAACAGCCAATTCATCATTCTCCAATAAACCCAATTCGGGATTCTGAGTAGTAAGAACCAACTGATGACCGTGGCTTTCACGGTCAGTGTTGTCTTGATCAGCAGCCATTTTATCATCTTCACCTGAATTAATTCTATCGTCATGACTTTGTTCATATCTGTTCTCATGTTCATTGCTTTGAATTTGGGCATGCTGTAGAGCCATTTCATGGTCATGGGCCTGACCTAGCGCTAACTCGTGATCATGGGCATGCACTAAACCTAGATCATCATGATCATGGGTTTGTCCAAGTCCTAAATCTTGACCCTGTCCAATTATGAGATCATGATTATGCCCTAGTCCCAAATGTTGGTTCTGTAACAGTGAAAAATCCCGACTTTGCCCAAGAATCATATCATGGTTCGCCATGAATAATCTACTCAAAATATCGCAAACAATCTCAATACCCAAAAAAGAAAAGAAAAGACAAAGGTGCTCAAGCAACTGCTCAAAACTCTTGTCTACTAATTACGTCCAAGAAAACCTGTTCAAATAAAAGCTACACACCAATCAGAATCCACCTTTTTATTTTTATTTTTATTTTTTATTCCTCTCTCTCTTCCACTCCCATCAGTTACAACAAACAAGCGAAAAAAAGGAAAAACAACTCCAGCATAACATATCGTCAAAACACAATATAACTTTGTTACCTAAATTTGCTTGTTGTTTGTTACTTTTCACAACAAATCAGGGACTTTGCAGGAAAAAAAATCTTCGAACTGCCCTGAAGCTTCCAGTGGTACATGAATTCCTATAATTCAAGCCATTCAATTAACATAGTTAACATGATAATCACAACTAAGAGCAAATGCTGGGTTGAGTTGCCAGTAAAAATGTAATGCAACTACATCAATTTTTAGAATCCTATGTTAATGTCAATAAGTGGGTGTACTCTAATAATCAAAACCATAACCAAATTCAGCTAAGTCCGGTTAAAAACATTTGATCCCTCATTTTCTCAGCAACCAAACAGCGAACAGCGAACGAAAACCAAAAATCACGCAAAGAAGCTCACCGAGAAGCAAAACGCTAATTCTGAATGCACAGGAGAGAGTTCTCGGCACAACTTGTAAATCAGGAGGACAACCGAGAAAACCTGCAAAAATTGAGATAAAAGGGAACATATCATTAGGACAGTGATCAACCAAAGATTTCAAAATCACAAATTAGGGTTTACAGATGCATTGATATTGATGGGAGTGTATATAAATCCATAGAGAGAGAGAGAGAGAGAGAGAGAGAGAGATAGAGCAGATAGTTATTTGTCTTGGTGGAGAAGAGAGAAGAAAATACCAGAGAGAGAGAGAGAGAAGAGAAGAGAAGAGAGAATTGGGGAAGGGCAAAAGGGCAGAAGATGGGGTATCGGAGTTTTCCAAGGTCAAAATCTAGTGCCGCTACCAAAAACGGGGCATTTAGGTCCTCAAGGAATCTGATTAGGTTGAGTTTATTTTTATTTGTTTTTTTATTATTATCAAGAATAGTGCCTCAAAAATTATACATTGAGACTTTGTTTGACAAGTGACTTTTTTAGTTAAAAGATTAAAAAGTTAACAATTTATATTAAAAAGTTAAAGATTTACTTTTCTCTCTAATTTTTGCATATCTTTTCATAAAAAGTCAAAAAATCATTCCAAATATATTAGTTTTTTTTACATAGCATTTTAGTTAAAAAACTAAAAAGTTACTAAAAAAACCTGTTCCCAAAGGAGGCTTGGGGCTCTTAAAATTTTATTTCACATAATAATTAATTATTTTTTTATTAAAAAATATATATTAAATCATATTTATCATATATTATCTGGATTTTTTCTTTTTCTTTTCTTTTTTATTTATTTATTTACAAATATAATTAAAATTTTATTAAATTAAATCTATATTTATTTTTTTAATCTTTATTTTTATGATAAATTGCACATACCTCCTTTGAAGTTTAAAAATAAATATTAATGAACTTTACAAATTTAGTATAATTACATTAGACTCTCTTAATATTGTCATTTATATAACACTTTAATCTCTTTTCATTAATAATTCATTAGTTATATGAATAAAAATTGATAATATCCCATCGTTTAAGTTGAAATGTATAATTTACCTTGTTAACATTTGTGGCATAATTTACCTTGTTAACCTTTGTGTTTTTATACCATATGTATTATTTTTGGTCAATTTTACTAGAAGGAATGTTGATATAATTATGTCAAATCTATGAAATTTATTGTATTTTCTCTAAAACTCAAGGGAGATTAGTGTCATTCACCCTTACTCATTAATAGGATTGGGAACCAAGCGAGTAAGTCGAGTGGTAGTTCATTTAAGTTTAACTTTTGTTTCAATAACGTGAGGTTGAGGATTACATAGAATCCAGGTCAGGTACCAAATTTGTCTAAAACCATGCTAAACCAGTGTCTGGGAATCTGTCGAGAAAAAGAAAACAGAACCTACAGCAGATAAACCACACATAGCAGAATTTAGTAATCTACAACTCCTTAAGTTGGCTTTGGAGTGGTGGTAGCAGCTTTACAGGTATATCTCCGGTCAGAGTTGCAGTTGCTCGGACAATTCTTCAAGTTTGCTGCAATTTTACGAGTCACGTCATTGTATGCTTTGGAGACTGCAGGATCATGATTTGATATTTACTACAGGGACACCTTCATCAGAGAACTACTCTTGATCTTCACCTCCAATGGATATCTGAACGAGTAAAATACCGAGACACAATTCTTACTGTTTGCAGAAGTGCATTTGTAAGGAATGGAAAATATATCAAAAGCAAAGTTCCATGGAGATGCTGCTGTGATTTGATCCCAAATTCCCTCCTAGTGAAGCTTTCAAATTCCAATTTTTTAAAGGGATTTAAAAGATTCAGCAGAAGAGCCAGAAATTTACATTTGGAAATCATGGATGAATGGTGTCGGAACATAACCTAAGCAGTACTACTACAATCTTAAGTAGGAACACATACCTCACCAAAAAATGGCAATCCCATTTCATCCGCCATTTGCGAGTTCCTCCTTTCCCAAAATTCACCGCGGTGTGGACACTTGAAGCTCATGCTCTACCGGACAACCAAAATCTGAAAAGTGACTGAACGTTTCAGAAAATGAAATAAACAGAAGAGATCAATTCATTTACTAAAAAATCATAACAGCCTATCATTGTATGAAAAATTTATTGCCATTATCAACAGACCATGTGCAAAAGTAATTATAAAAGATGACAGATTTATATTACACTAAAACATAAGGATATCCCTTATACTGATTGTGATTTTTGTCATTTGATTGTGCAAATGAGTTCCTTTTTTGTGCCTGATACTCAGCGTATTTGGGTTCTACCCCCTTTGTTTCTGTTCAGTGACTGAAATTAGATTTTGGAAGAAATTCTCCAACACTTGAAATATACAAGGTGTAAAAGTGTAATGTAATGACATGGATTTACAGACAAAAGGCATTATACCCCTAGGGAAGAAAATTTACAAATCCATGAGATGTAACAGTAACCATTCACATGTTTCACCCACAGCATTACAATAGAGGTTTAACTCACAAAAAAGCAGCCAGAGTTATACATGAATAGAATGTACTGCTAACTACTGTTTCAATTGTGAAAAGGACTGAACAAATGAAGGGAAATCAAATGAGAATGAAATCATCTGACTAAATACTTCTATTGTATTGAAGTACGCAATTTTAGTTCAGTAATACTATGAACCCACCCTTATCAACTCAGAAATGACTCAGAATCTTTAACTTGTAGTTCAGATTTATTCTACACATGACTCCAAATGAACCCCACAGTACAAAAATTAATCTCTAGCACACAATCACCCACCTAGAATTTTCTGGGTGGATTAATCTGGGTCTCTAGATTAATTCATTTTAGTTATCTATAGCATTTGAGGAAAGTGCAATTAGTACTGAAAACGCAAAATCTCCAGGAGATAATAATCTCATCTCATCTATGGTTTTCAAGAAATTTGGGCTAACTCTTCAGATGGTCAGAAAAAAATAAAAAAAAGTGATTTAAATATCGCAGAGATGCCAGAGTCAACCTTTGCTGTAAGCTAAACACACAAAATCCCCTAAAACATCCTTGTATGGCAATCCCTGCATTAACTAGAGGATGTATAAAATTTCAAATATGATAATTCTAATAAAGGCATTGCTTCTTTGTGTGTGTGTGTGTGTGATAAGTAAATGAAGCATCATTCGCAACTTGACTTTTGATAGATTGGTAAACTAAAAAGAAGGAAATATATCAGCCTATGACATTTGGCTCTCTCAATTTCACACATAATCTGACTAGTAAATTCAGTATTGAGTATAAACTAAGACCTGAGACATGAATCTAACAAAGGTAGAGCCTTTGAGCCATAAATGTGTTTCCATGTCACTCTCCTGTGCTAATTGTTGATCCTCTAGTTGAAGCATCAAAACCTCTAAAACTGTATTCATATTCTTTTATCAACCTGATAATTGAAGCCTCTGAGAAATAGAAATCTGAGCAACACTAGAATATCAAGTTTCCCCAATCCACACCCCTTGACTCATGTTCAAGAGCTTTCATCAGCTGCAAGAACAAAATCAACATAAGTTTTGGATAAAGAAACAACAATTAACAGTAAAATACATTTAACAGGTTAACCAAAAAAAAAAATAATCACCAAATCCTTCAAAAGGAGTTACAGTTTGAAGCACAAATACTTCAAATCACACATGTACAATAAAATAAGAAAGAGGAAGTAACAGGTAAGGGAAGACAAGAAACCCCATTTACATACACACCAGATTCCATAGTATTCAAATGGAATCATTTTCAAAAGGTACCAAATATGTCCAATCCAGCACCAATGTGACATAAGCAAGGCATATTCACATTAAAATGTGAGCAAGATGGGGATATTAAATTAACTAGTAAATCGTGAGCAATAAGTTAAAAGCAAATCTATATCTTTTAGAACTACCCTTAGCAATTCACTATCATGCATTCAGTGTACTTCACATCATTGACAACATAGATTTTTGGAACATGTCAGAAAGGATTCAGATGATTAAAGAACTACCTTCATATACTTCAGGCGCTGCCATTGAGTTTAATCATGGTAGGCATAGATGGCCCATACACATCAGCATCAAGCAGCCTACTATTAAGGTTACACTTATTGGCAAGTGCCACGGCCAAATTAACTGCAAATTCCACAAGTATACAAAGGTATATTTGCAATCTTAGTTAAGTAAAAATTTTCAGAGGGCACTTCACTCATTGAACATGCAAACTACATGATATATATATATATATATATATATATGGAATATGGAGTGATAGTATTAGTGCCCCGATACATATACAAGAGAAGGTTCAACATATTGTTGTTTTAATACGCTTCATAATTTCCCAATTTGAACTCCTCATTTGTGTTGAATTGAATCTCAGTTGGATAATGAACATCATTAACTTTATATTAAGTACTGCGCACACAACTACATTTCTACTCCCACAAGAACTTTACATAGTATAATCCCCAAGCACTCAAAAACAAATTACACAATCAAACAAGAGAATGACATTAAAAGGGGGGAATCTAAATACTTCTCTAGTGAAAGGCATCATGAACTAAAAATCATGACATTTTGACCTCCTATCTCCGATTTTTGGATATGTTAAGTTACTGCTATTGCCAAAGAAAGGTACAACGATCTAATGAAGCTGGCAAAAACCAATATTTTTTTAAAGTTGTGTTTGAATCTTGGATTGAGGAAGATTTGCGAAGGGAAAAGAAAAGTGAATGAAATAGATGCTAATGCGTGCGCGTGTTTTTTCCCCACAAATTTCGCTCCTTTTCTTTTCCCTCCACAAATCTCCTCACAAATTCAAGATCCAAACAGAACATATAAGTAATTTAAGGAGAATCAAACTTGAGCCTCTTCATTGGGTCAAGCGATTTAAGCCATTGAGGTGTCCTATTTTAACCCTCTAACCCAATAAAGGGAACACTCCAACACTTCACAGTGATGCGAAGAACTTTAAAGAACTGATTGGCAACACCCCACACATCAGATTCTAAATTCAAAAACAATTACTCAAGATCAGCATCTAATCAAATTATCTGAAAACAAATTAACATTATCAATAATCAGGAACATTGCTTATTCCACCCAAATCGATCATCTAGACAGAAGCCCATATCTAATATAAAAAATCTTGATCAAGAGCCATAAAAGAAAAACAGTTAGATAGAACCCAAAAGTCACCTGAAATAACTGTGAAGACCAAAACAATGTTTGCCCAACCAAAAAAAACCCAGTTCTTTATCTTCTTCAAAATGATGTAACCACGTGATTAGAACGAATGACAACACTACATCAAAGGACACTAAAGTCACAAATTCTTCTCAACCCTACAGCCAAAAAGCCCACTAACATCAGCAAGAAGCCTTGAATTTTTGCTTATTCCCCCAAAATGTAGCGTGTAAACAAGAACCCACATCATGTATCAAAGAAATCAAAAATCATTGTAATAAAGAGAGAGAGAGTTTTGGAAAGAAGTGAGCGAACAACCCCTTTGATGAATCGATCAAAGTTGTTGAAACCATATGTTTGGTTTCAGTCCCACATCGGTAGAAAGAGAAAATGGGAGAGGAGGGAGAGATGTGAAAAAGGAAGGGGGCGGGGAAGAGAAACATACTTACCTGGACGGGGTCGATGGGCGATCAACAAGGCCCATGGCCTAGGTTGGCGGCCTCCATTGCACGCAGGAGGGGCGCCCGCCTAAGGTCTACCCAAGTGGTGGAGCCTACGTCATAATTTGTGTTAGTGGGGGCCTGCGTTCGCGCGGCCCCTGCCCAATATTCTGAAACAAAATTTACTGTATTCTTCTCTTTGTTCTATTAGAGAGGTAGTTCGAAGTTAGAGCCCTAGGTCTCAACAGAAGCGGGCTAAATACGTTCATTAATTTTAAGCCCAAAATGGCATCTCTATCTACTTCACAACTAGCGTAGACTTGAAATCCGAAGTCCCAATAAAAGGCCAAAATACTGTACGAGCCCACTACTATGAAAGAAGCCCAAAAAACTTTACAAGCCCAACATTTAGCCCTTAACAGAGATTGGAGAAGGCGGTGTGCCGAGGTTAGATTTTATTAGTTTGGGTCCTATACCACCCTCCAAGGAGATGGGTAACTGGGACTGGAAGACGTCCGATGTGGGATGTGGAAACAATCATGCTGATGTATTAGCTACCCTTGTTTCAAGGCTTACTATGTTAGATGGAAAAATTTATAGTAGCATCCGCATTATCAGAAGCCCAAAAAACTTTACAAGCCCAACATTTAGCCCTTAACAAGATTGGAGAAGGCAGTGTGCCGAGGTTAGATTGCTTGTTTATTAGTTTGGGTCCTATACCACCCTCCAAGGAGATGGGTAACTGGGACTGGAAGACACGTCCGATGTGGGATGTGGAAACAATCATGCTGATGTATTAGCTACCTTGTTTCAAGACTTACTATGTTAGATGGAAAAATTTATAGTAGTATCCGCATTATTAGAAGAGATCATCCTTCTTGGTTTGAACTGGAAAAAATGATCGGGTGGACGGCTCATTAATTGAATGTTTGGGTTGAATCAAAATTGAATTGTGACATTATAAATGTATTCGAAATACTTACGAGTTTGGGAGTGAGGATCGGAGTTCCAGGCAGGGAGGTGCTCCGACACATTGATGGCGAGACCAAGTCCACCAGAGAGATGTTTCGATGTAGGCAAGAGATACAGAGGCAAGAAATGCAGAAAATTAGGGTGGTTACTTTGTGGCTCTGGGTTGCTGGATCGTCGAAGTAAGAGGATGAACAAAGAAGGGAGAGATTTCAAGGGGTGAACAATGTATGTATAAGGAGAGAAGAGGTGCCAAAATTTGAAATTGAGAAGATAGCGTGGGGCGGCTAGGTTAGCGGCACAAGGCCAATGAGCAAATGACACGTGTCTGTGATAAGACCGGTGTCAGTACTGAAGAGACAGACGGAAAAGTCGAAACGTTGATCGAGCGAGTGATGAAGCCAAGCAAGGAAGTTAGCACGGCAAGTAAGTTGAGGATGCTAGTCGAGTAGATTAGTGGTCTTGGCTAGAGAAAGTAATTACAATCACGTTGGCGCGGATGGAATTAAGGGGCAATTGAGAGGGCGATTTCATAAATTGACACTGGATCGAGCTAAGCTGGGCCAAGCGCAGTTAGGCCGAGCTAAGTTCAAACGAATACTTGGCATGCTCGGTCAGGGCCCCAGTCTGGTCCAATCGAAGCAACCTTAGATCGTCAGCTCGGTTAATCATATTCGCTCCGCTGAGTTAGATTGGCATAGTCTTCCATAGATCAGTCTGATCGGGCAGTTTCTAGGTCAGAACTAAGAAGGTCGGCTAAGTCGTAGTGGGATCTTCCAGTTAAACCAGACGAGCATCACGGTCATGGCGTGGTCACGGTGTGATGGCAAGGAATCATGCTATCCGTTCGCGCCAAAGCCGTTTGGCGGTTTTGTTAGGTGGTGTTTAGTTGTATTTGCACTGACACGTAGGAAAATAGGAGAGGAGAGCAAGTCCACGCGTTCAAAGGCGAATGGACGCAGAGGCGTACGCAAAAGGTATATAAACGATGTTGCGCCCCCATACTCAAGGCTGGAACATCTTATGATCACAACTCACCTACGACTTTATCTCTCTCTCTCTCTCTCTCTCTGTGTATGTGTGCTAACTTAACCGTTGAAGGGTTTTTCAACAGTACACCGCCGGGTAGTTTACCGTCATTGTGTTTTCAGATCAATTGGAGTGAAGCGCAACTTAGACACAAAGAATACGAGCAACGACAGATATTTACACCTCGTACATTAAAGAAAAAGAAGTTCTAATTTCTATGGTAACAGCTTCGAGAATTCTTTACCCTGAAAAGAGACCTCATCATCTATCTTTTCAAGTGGATCTCATTTATTTAAGGTTTGCTTGGGAGTAACATTTTTAGTAATTATTTTTAAATGAAAAAAGTTGAAGTGACAATTTAAGGGCCTATTTGGGAAGTATCTTTTTGAGTAGCTTTTTAGTTTTTTTGATTAAAATATGATATTAAAAAAATTAATCAGTATGTTTGATTTTAATTTTTTGAATTAAGCTTTTTAAAAATTAAGCTTTCTTTTTTTTGTATTTTTTTATTTTTAGTGAATATTTTTTAAATTTTAAGCAAATTTTTTTTTTTTTACTTTTTTAGATACACCTTACTTAGATGTATCTAAATAGTAAAATATATGTGAAAAAATATTTTTAAAAATTAATAAATATACAAAAATACAAGAAAATGAACTAAATTTTCATTTTTTTTTATATTTTTTGGTATTTAGTGTATTTTTTAAAGATTTTTTTCATAAATATTATATTTTTTTAAGTATATTTATGTTAGGTGTGTCTAAATTTTTTTTTAAAAATTGCGAAAATATTAAAAAAATTAATTAAAAACATTAAAATACGGAAAATAAAAAGTAAAATTTTTTGAAAACTGTTTTTTGAAAAACAAAACCAAACAAACTGAATATGTTTTAGAATATTTTTTTAACCTCTTATATAAAATAAAAATAAAAAATGTGCAAAAAGATAAAATAAAAATGAATGAAATTTTGATTTTTTTGGGGTAAGAATTTAATTTATTTTTTCACTTTTTGACTTTTTAATTAAAATAGTCTTATCTCAAACTAATTCTAAGTTTTTTTTAACTAATGACAAACTATTTAACAACCTTTAAATTTTTTACTTCTTAAAAGAAAAAAGAAAATTAAGATGGAGTAATGAAAAAGCCACATCAACAAAAAGCAATTTGGATAATGATAAAAAAAAAAGTTAATTATTTTGATAAAAGTCAAAAGAATAAAAATAAAAAGTCATTAAGCTGTTTGTTAGGAGCTAAAAAAAACTTTTTTAATTAATGATAAGAAAAATCAAAAAGTCATTATTCTATTTGTCATATTTAAATAATTTAAAATTAGTATATCACTCGTGTTATATATGGGATTGAATTTTAAAAAATTATTTATGGTATGTCAAACATATTTTTAAATTGTTACCATAAAATATAGGTAATTTAAAAATAAAAGGTTGACATTGCATAATTAAAGTAATAAAAATAAGAATTTATTACATTTGTTCGAAATTCACTGAATAAATAAAATAAAGTATAACTAAAATTTAAATTGTTGTGGGTCTTTCATCAGTGTTCCTGTATTGTCAACATGATACTTAGTATTATAATTTATTACAATGATTTTTTTTAAAAGCATAATTAGTTAAAAATACAATCACAAATTAAACTAATTAATAGTTAAAAAACACAATCATTTTTAAAAAAAAATACAATGAGTTAAAAAACCTAATTACAAAATATAATCTAATCATCATCATCAATAGTGCGTAGTTTATGTGAGTCTAATGAATGCAATCTAATTTTTTTTCTTCAAAAAATATAGATTAAAAAAACAATCATCGTATTGAAAAATAAATTTAAGTCTAATTACAATCACAAAATACAATCCAATCATATCATCATTAATAGTGGGTGTTTTATATGAACCTAATAAATACAATCTAATTTTTGTTTTCAAAAAACATAAATTAAAAATACAATCACCGTGTGATTGTATTTAAAAAACATGAATACAATCTTTTCTTTTTTCAAAAAACACAGATTAAATGGAGTGTAAAAACGATCATTAAAAAAATAAAATCACCGTGTGATCAAAATAGAGTGTAAAAAAACACAATCACAAATTAAGCTAATTAATAGTTAAAAAGCAAATCCTTTTTTTTTAAAAAAATACGAGTTAAAAAACCTAGTTATAAAACATAATCTAATCATCATCATCATTAGTGCGTAGTTTATGTGAGCCTAGTTAATACAATCTATTTTTTTTTTTTCAAAAACCATAGATTAAAAAAATAATCACCGCATTGAAAAATAAATTAAGTCCAATTACAATCACAAAATACAATCCAATCATATCATCATTAATAGTGGGTATTTTATGTGAACCTAATAAATACAATCTAATTTTTGTTTTAAAAAAATATAGGGGAATTTTTTTTAAGGTCCCTGGTATTAAGATTTTACAGCATAAAGGATACTCAATATTTTCATAATGTCAAAGGTCCCTCAAGTTGATCCAGAGAAAATTAGTCTAGAGAAAATTCACGTCACAAAGAAATTTCCCACTGTAAATTTCTCTGCCTCACCATCTCCAAATTTCTCTGCCTTCCATATACTTCCCAGTTTCCCAGAGAAATTTTTCTGCCTTTCCACAAAATTACATCTCTAGAGAAATTTTAAATTTCTCTGCCTTCCATGCCTCTCCTAGACTCAACATTGCAGAGAAATTCGAAAATTTCTCTAACTTCATCGGCCTTCAATTGATCAAAATGAATCCAGAGAAATTTAAAAACTTAGAGAAAATTGGTTCAAATGGACCCAGAGAAATTTGAATTTTCTCTGGATTTGATGTGTATATAGGAACCAGTTTGATGTGTATGTGTATATAAGAACCTGTTTGGTCAAACACCAGTTTGATGTGTATATAAGAACCAGTTTGATGTGTATATAAGAACCTATTTGGCCACTGAAATATGTGTATATTTT